GCGATGGCCGTGTCAGAGCCGCGGGGCCCGGCCCGGCTGCGGGCGGGGGGTACCCGAGTGGCGAGGCGTTCCGCTGCAGATCTGGAGTGAAATGCACGGCAGAAGTTTCCAAAGGGTCCCCCTCCTTGGATCATAGAATCATAGAATCCTAGGGGTTGGAAGGGACCTCGAAAGATCATCTAGTCCAACCCCAATACGGAGTAAAAAGGTGGTTTGGGAGCCGTTTCAGCTCCGTCCCACTTTTTTTTCCTATTTATTTTTTTGGGGCGTTCACCCCGACGTGTTTGCTTTATGTAAATGTAGGGAATAGTCATGACAAAGAATGAGGCCACCCCAACATGACTGCACTGTGAGCTTGAGTAAAACCGTCCTGCCGACCTACTTGTGAAAATATGAACTTGTCCTTTTCTGGTTGTTTTTTGGTTGGTTGCTTTTTGGGGGGTATTTGTGTGTGATTAAAGGAATATCAAGCTTAAGACAGAAAGATTCATTTGAGGCTGTAAAGCGTGGAATACTTATCAAGGTGAAAGTAATGGTGCTCAGTCTAAGTTATTTGTTCCCAAGATGTAAAAGGCAGTGTTAGGTTAGACGAGTGGTTATTTGCCTGTTTAGCTGTAGACTTCTAATTTGTGTTTCCCAGTTTTATTAGCAGCGCCCACCTATGCAGCTGCATAGTGAACTTGAATCCATCTGGGTGACTTTGTCCTATTGGTGTTTGAGTTGTGGGTGGAAAAGCTGAAATGATTGCCAAAATCTCAGTAGCTTAATTGTTTAGCTCTGAGTACCAACATCTGCTTGATCATTAATGTTCATGTAAGGGTACCTCTCTACATTATTCCTTCACAGAGAAAAAAATCACAGGGTATTAGATCTGGAACTGGTATATGCTATTTTTGTTTGTTTTTCAGACTGCGGGCAAGGATAATACGGGGGGTTATGACTGTTAGGGAAAAAAGGGGGAGGTGGGAAAACCAATGGGTATGTTTTTTCACTACCTTGAACATTTTGTTTCATATGTATTCTTAAAAAAAAAAATAGATCTTCATGTATGCTGTGGTTACAGATCTTGATTAATAAAATATAAACCAGAATGTGACATAACAAACTCATGTAGAAAGTTCTCCTGTTATGAATTCCGAACTCTGTTACAAGACTTTTGCAAGTTAAGAACTTGCTTTGTGTTTTGCTAGCAGAAAGACATAGTGACCAGCTTAGTTGTCAGAATTGGCTGGGGAAAGAGGAGGGAGGAGTGATGATAATACAGGAAAATATTTTTATCAAAGCACAACTGATTGCATGTTTGCAGTGGAACGGTGACAGAAGCCTGAGCTATAGAAGTCCCAGAAACTTGGACTAGTTGTGGCTGTGTATTTGTGTCTGACCCCTGGATCACTTATTTCTTTGCACTTTTTAATCAGAAAAATGTTTAGTTGACAACACTGATGCTGAGTATTTAACACCAAGATACTTTTGGCACTTGGCATTCCACCATGCACTAACATGGTACAGTTGCCTTTCAGCTCCAAATTGCAAGCTTGGAGCACATAGTCATGATTAATTTCTATTGCCATTGTAATATGGGAAGGCACATCTCAAAATTTTATAGTGTTGGACTGAAAGCCTTTTAGTTGATATGTGCTATGTAAAGGGGAAGATAAAGTCATCTCTAAATACTAATCAAGAATGAAAAAGAGGGAGAGAGTTTTCAAATAGATTGTCCTTTTGCCTTAGAGCATTTTCCAGGCTGTCATGTCTTGGAGAAACAAAGGTGTATTTGATAGCATTAGAAATCAGCAGTGTAGTGTGTATTATTTGACTTACAGAGGCTAGGTCCAAAGTGCAAGAATCCATATGAGAACAAGTCAGTATGTAGCCATGATGAGGGTTTAAAATATCTGTCTTCTTTTCAGCCATTTAAAGTTTTGGCAACTGAAACTATAAATGGAAAGGCGTTAGAGGCAGATATATACAATGCAATTCCTACTGAAAAGGTGGATGGAACCTGCTGTTACGTAACTACCTATAAAGGTAATAAGGAAGATCCATATGCAGATTTCTCATGCTGATTAGAAGCCTTGTTTTATTTAGTTTTCACCTTTTTTTTTTTTAATCATCTACTGGATTACAGCTGTTGGGAATTCAACTCTCTTTATATGACTTGACCACAAAGTAATAGTTACTGTAAATATAGGAGGCGTTTATAAAGTTGTTATAGATTTTACTCTCTAAAATACATGAAGTATGGTTAAAGTGAACATGTCAATCAGGAAACTGTTCCAGTTTTAATATTTCTTATAAGTACATCTTCCTTGCATGCTAGAATTTAATACAGTGTCTGAGTTCTTTGGGAAGGATTAAAGTAAGTATGGGAGTTGCAAGAAAATTAAAAGACCACTTCATTGCATCCCTGCAGTTCTTGACTTTAGCTGAACTTGTAAGGAAACTTTGTATGAAACTAGGCAAGATTCTACAGTCAGATAGTTAGATGCAAAACAGTAATTAATTTATGAATTTAAAGAATGTATTTTGATATACAGTGTCTCTAGTGATAAATAAGAACTCAAGTCTTGCCTTTTATGTAGATTGTTTCGCTAGTCTGCAGGGTTACCCTAGTAAACTTCTGGTTTTATCCCTTTGGAAACTCTAGGGCAACCGTATCTATGGGCCAGGCTGGATCGAAAACCCAACAAACAAGCTGAAAAAAGGTTTAAACGATTCTTGTATTCATTGGAAGATTGCAAAGGTTAGTGGAGATGTCTTTCCTTCTTTTTTGGCATTGTTAAGTTATCCTGTTGGAAAACCACTTCTAGTTTAATGCAGGAAATGTCAGTGATCCTGCTCCAACTTGCTTGAAGTAGAGTTAAGAGTGACATTAAAAGAGATTTAAACTAGAATCAGTGGGGGAAGGACTGCAGTAAGGAAGCCAAGGGTTGGGATGGCATCACTGGAGAATGAGAGCATTCACACTGCTCCTGAGAAGGGCTCAGGAGCATACCTGAAATGCTTGTACCTACCTCAACAGACACAGTATGAGAAGCAAACAGGATGAACTGGAAGCGTTGGCCAGCTCCCAGAGCTATGGTATCATTGGTACTAGTAAGACTTCATGGAATGAATCCCACAGTGAGGGAGAGTGTTGGGATTGAAGTCCACAGGCTGTTCAGGAGGAACAGCAGGACAGGCATCACAGTTAGTGATGACTTATTTGAGGATTAGGGGAATGGAAAAATGAAGGAGATTTTGGAGTGTCTGCTACCACTTGCCCAGCCAGGGTATGAGCATTGATGAGTTACTCTGTAGGCAAGGAAATTTATGGATTGATAGCCCTGGTCCTTGTGGGAGATTTCAACTTCCCAGCCATCAATTGGAAATATTATCCTGATGTGATGAACAGGTCTTGGAAATTCTTCAAGTTGTAGGAGATAACTTCTTGTCACAGGTACTCAGTGAGCCAAGTAGGAAAGATGCCCTCCTAGACTTGCTGCTGGTAAATAGATAAGACTTGTGGGGGATGTGATGGTAAATGGTGTTTTTTGCCACAGTGATCATGAAATGGTTCAGTTTAAAATGTTCAGTGTAATGAGAAAAAAGGACAGCAGAGTTGCTATCTTGGACTTCAGGAAAGCAAACTTTAAGCTATCTAGTAGCGTACCATGGGCATCTGCTTTTGAGGGCTCAGAAGTCCACAAGTGTTGGCCAGTCTTTAAGAACCACCCTTCAGAAGCACAGGAACAGGCAGTTCCAGTGTGTTGTGAGTCAGGCGAGCAGGGCAGAAGACCAGCTTGGCTGAACAGGGAACTCCTCGTGGAGCTCAAGAGGAAGAAGAAATTGTTGACAGACCTTGGGCTGCCCAGTCTCCTGAGTCAGAGGACCATGAGTGTGGGAATATTTTTGGACGCTCAAATTGTAAGGACCAGCTGTTATCATCTGAGTGTTCAGAAGTCCATGGAGCCTGATGGCATTCATTGAAGAGTTTTGAAGGAGCTAGTGGATGTTATGGCAGGACTTCGCTTGGTCATCTTCCAAAGGACTTGGGAGGCTGGGGAGGTCCCTGCTGGCTGGAAGCTAGCCAGAGTTACTCCAGTCTACAAAAAGGGTGTGTGACAAGATCCAGGAAACAACAGACCTGTTAGTCTGAACTCAGCTCCTGCAAAAAACATGGAGAAGTTTACACTGTGTACTATTAAAAAGCATTTCAGGAATAATGCAGTCATCAGGATTCATAAAGGCCTGTTTAACTAATTTGATACTCTTCACCTGTCACCTGTCTAGTGGATGAATAGAAGTGTGGTGGTAGCTTTTCTGGATTTTAATAAGACTTACGGTATTGTCCCTCACAGCATCCTTCTGGGCAAGCTGTCCATCTGTGGGATGAGCTGCTTCATTGTGGACTGGGTGAAGAACTGGCTGAAAGGCAGGGCTGAAAGGGTCTTGGTGAATATAGATACATCAGGCTGGTGACTATCACCAGCTGTGTTCATCATGGATCAGTTCTGGGGCCAGTCCTTTTCAATATATTTAGCAATGATCTGGATGCAGAAGTTGAATGCGCCATAAACAATTTTCCTGATGGTACCAAATTAGGAGATGCTGTGAGAGGGACAAGAGGCCTTGCAGAGGGATCTAGAGCATTGGGCTGTGATTAATGGGATGATACTCAACAAGTCCAAATGCTGGGTTCTGCAGCTGGGATGGAGTAATGCTGAGTACAAGTCTAAATTAGGAGGGGAGTGGCTGAAAAGCAGCCCTGCAGAAAGGGAACTGGGATGCTGGGTGACAACAGGATCAGGATGAGCCAGCAGGGTGCTCTGGCAGCCATGAGGGCAAACCACATCCTGTCATGCATCACACACAGCATGGCCAGCTGGTCAAAAGCAGTGATTATTCTTCTGTACTCAGTGTTGGTGGAACCTCACCTGGAGCACTTCCTTTAAGAAGGATGTTAAGGTCCTTGAATGTGTCCAGAGGATGATAGCAAAGCTGGTAGAATTGCTGGAATGAATCTCTTATCAGGAGTGGCTAAGGACTTTGGGTTTGTCTAGTTGAAAGGTCTTTTCCAACCAGAATGATTCTGTGAATCTGAGAAAGAGGCTGAGGTATGACCTCACTGCTCTCTGCAGATTCTGAGGAAGGGAGATAGAGAAAGAGGTTCTGATCTCTTCTCCCTGGGATCCAGTGATAGGATGTGTGGGAATGGTTCAAAGCTGCACCAGGGGAGGTTTAGGCTGGACATTAGAAAACATTTCTTCACTGAGAGGGTGGTTAAACACTGCAACAGGCTTCCTTGGGGTGGTCGATGTCCTAAGCCTGTCAGTGTGTGAGACATTTGGACAATGCCCTTAAATAACATACTTTAACTCATGGTCAGGCAGGTGGACTAGGTGACTGATAAAGGTATCTTCCAACTGAAATAGTCTGTTATATTCTGCTTCTCTTGCTCTAGTTTAATGTTGGCTATTTAGGTAGCTATTTTTTAATTTTTGTTAGTTTTGAACCTTTAAACTACTTAAGGACTACTATTCTTTAAACCCTCTGGATTGTAGACTGGTTCAGTGTACCAGATATTGATGCTTGTACAAAGTAAGTGGGACTACTGTCTGTAAAACAAGGTTTAGATCAACAGTATTCAAATACTTGCATTGAAATATGATAAAAATGTAAAATGGGCTAATGGTTTGCCAAAAACTGTCACATTTATATGTCTAGAATTTATTTGGAATGTTGAAGAGGATTTCAAGCCTGTTCCAGATACTTGGATCCCAGCAAAGGATATAGAATTCTCTAATGGAAATCCATTGCCTGATGAAAATGGACATATGCCAGGTACTAATGCTGCAGCACAGGTAAAATGGGGGCAATGGTCCATTTTTAAAGTGAATTAGAATAGTTCCAGAGTTAAAAGTACTAGTTAACATATTTAAAATGTAATTCCTTCACTATCCAGAAAGGCTTTATTCTTCTCATGCATTGAAAATAATTGTGGTTTGCTCTACAGACTTACAGGGCTTTGGCTGAAGACACAGTTTTTGCTTTTGTTTTTGTCTTTTCTCTGGTTTGTGATGTGGTTTTTCTTGTTAGTCTTTCTGTCTGTAGTTAACTGTATGGTTTTTTTTTAATCCATGTACACATATGTGTAGTAATCTGGTACATGTATGATAACTTCAGATAGTAATTTTCATAAAACGCAATATTTTCTCACAGGTTGGGTGCCTGTGGAGAAGAACAGTAAGCAGTATTGCTGGCACTCATCTGTTGTAAATTATGAGGCTGAAATAGCACTGGTATTGAACTACCATGCTGACCCAGGGCTTCTGGAAATCAGTCCGGTACCATTATCAGAAATTTTAGAACAAACATTGGAGCTTGTTGGGACTAATATCAATGCAAATCCATATGGTAAGTTTGTATGGCTGTTCTTAAATACATTTTATTCAGTGATATTTTTGAGTGAAAACTATGTACTTTCTTTGTATAAGTTTTAAAAAGTAATGTAATCTTTTTAGAAAGGAGAGAAAGGGCTAGCTCAGAGAACACTCAGCCAAAAATGCCCACATAAGAAAGCTGAGTTGTCATGAGACTGTTTATGTCTATGAGCCTCTTTCCACCTGCATTTCCTTTAGAGTTAATATAAAAATACTTTGCTTTAGTCTTCCAAAAATATTCTGACTGGAAATGTTTTTTAAAAATCATAGAATCATAGAATGGTTAAGGTTGGAAGTGACTTTAAAGATCATCAGGTTCCAACCTCCCTCCCATGAGCAGGGACACCTCCCATTAGACCAGGCTGCACAAGGGCTCATCCAACCAGGCCTTAAACACCTCCAGGGATGGGGCTTCCACAACCTTTGTGGGCAACCTATTCCAGCACCTTATTACCTTCATGGTGAAGAATTTCTTTCTGATGTCTAACCTAAAGCTTCCCTCTTCCAGCTTAAAATTATTACCCCTTGTCCCATCACTACCCTCTCTGGTGAAGAGTCCCTCCACAGCTTTCCTGTAGGCCCATTCAGGTACTGGAAGGCCGCTATAAGGTCTCCCTGGAGCCTTGCCTTCTCTTCCCCTTCTCCTTCCCTGTAAATATTATTAAATAGTAAATATTACTATTAAGATATTTAAATACTTTAAAGATTGTTTGTTGGTGCCTTTTCTTGACTATTTTTTTACTTGCTCTTCTGATGTTGCTTATTCTATTAAAGTAGAAAATTTTATTCAGCCAATTTTTGTTGAGTCTCTAGAGTTAGCAATAATTTACAAATTGGAAATATTATTAACATTTTTAAAGGAAAACTAAGCTAAATTTTGACTGTGGCTTCTCCATTCAAAGGCCTTATAATGAAAAAACAATTAGGGATGAACACAAATGAGTTCTAATTTGTGAGCTTTGCTGTTAGGATAGCTTGCAAGGATGGATATGAAAAAGAGTAGTACCTGGTCTCAACATTATCTCAGAATGTAAAGAAACTGCAGCAAAAAAAAAAATCTAATAACTGCATTCTTAGATGAAGATTTATGTTGAACAGTCAGTGAAGAGGCAATGCATTTGTTAACAGCCTGGCTTAAGTATTAATCCATATTCAAAAGAAAATAAGCCAGATTTTCAGGAACTAACATGCCTGTGCTAAGGATCATGATTTGAAGCATGAAGAATTTAGCTAAGTAGCTTTATCATAACTGAGGAGGTGGCCGCAAGGACAAGGCAGACAACTGTATAAACCTTTGTTGTGTTTATTTTCTATAAATAAAAAAGTTTTATGAGGAGACAGCTACATTTGATTCTTAGAAGTTCTCTTAAAGGCAGAACAATGCTCTAGTATCTAACAGAAGTCTGCATTTATAGAGTGCTTTTAAGATAGTAACAAAAATGAGGAAAATCTTAAGTTATCACATGTAACTAGCAGGAAGATTTTTATTTCTTTTAACCTAGGATTAGGAAGCAAGAAGCAGCCTGTACATCTTCTTGTACCCCATGGAGCATTTGAAATAAAGAATCCACCTGCTTTGAAACAAAATGACATACTGTCTTGGTTTGAAGGCTGCAGTGAGGGTAAAGTTGAAGGAATTGTGTGGCACTGCCATGATGGTTCTTTAATCAAGGTAAATATGTAGATGAACACGTGGGAAACTACAGTAATTCATAATATGTAAAGTATCATGAGGTGTACCCTTTTTTACTCGTTATCCAAATTCTTTGGTAGTAAATGTTATTCTAGCAAATCAGGTGACAGTAGAATTAGTCAAGACAGTAAATCACTACAGTGACATACTAAACTTTTTTATTATCTATGCTATGCTAATTAAGTAATTCAGAACATAAAAATAATATTTTCTGGCAAAATGAATAGGAATCAACATTTTAAAGCTTAGTTCTTTTATTTAAAAAAATAATTTATTGTAATGTTGACTTACAGAACAAGTTTATATTATTTCTGAAGTGTAGAGGAGATGTTGGGTCTGGTTTGCCTTTTATGCTTCATTATTACTCATGTTACTGAGATAATTGATTAACAGTTACAAGTGCCCTAATCCTAGAATTAGAGCACCTACAGGTCCCAAATTGGGAACTGTTTGGCTACTATATCAAAATCTCCATACTAATCTTATTTCTTTTTATTTTAGCTCCATCGCCATCATCTTGGTTTGCGCTGGCCACTTGCAGAGACGTACCTTAATTCTCAGCCTGTTGTCATTTCTTTTAATAGAACTAAATATGACTGTGACTTTGAACCAAAGAGTTTGTTTCACCACTTTTCAAACTTGGATGGTCAAAGATTTGACAGACTCCAAGATATCAAGTTTGATGCTTGAAATTATTTTTCTCTTCTAAGTTAATTTTTGAATGTGCTGCATTCCTCTTACTTGTGTCTACCATGGAACTCTTTACAAATATTCTTCTAGCTTAGGCAGCAGCCTAGGTACTATGCCATTTTAAGCTTTTCCTAAATGCCTAATTTTATATAACGAGATCTGACATCCAGAACAGAAATCTAGCTTTCAGCATATTTATTTTCAGTTCTGAAAAATCCTTAACTTCTGAGTACATTTTTGGAAACTGTTATAATTACGTGTAAGAAGTATGTTGTCTTAACACTGGCTGGTCCTAATATCTTCCCTAATTAATGCAGTCAACTGTAAAAGTTCCATAAGTTGCACTTCTGTAATTATAATTACTGTGATACTGTTATATGTAGGATTTAGATTTAGGATCTAGTTGTTTCTTAACAGTATATGATAAGCTTCAGGTGGGACCAGAATTATTTCTGAAATTTGATAATTTTTTTTGGAAGTTGTAACAATTTCTTTTGGGGGAAGACTTTTCACTGTATTATTTAACTGGTAGGCTGAAGCATTATGCTTCAGCTGAAAACCTAATTAAGCTATATCCTGCAGGTATTTCCACTAGTTTGCGACAAAAGGTGTCAAGAATAGAAAGTATACTAGTTTTATTTTGGAGATCCTTAGTAACTGGAGACATGTGACTTGGTTTAATAGTAGTCAATTTTCAGAGTGTCTCAATTAGGAAACTTCATCAAGGGCATATTAAGTAAGATGGCATATGAATAATAAAGGTGAGATTGTGATTGTTTGAGTTGGCTTTATTTTATCTGTGCTATAAATGTATACATCCAATTACATAAAATATACAAAATGTAAAATCATTTATCTAGAAAAATACCAGTAGTTTGGCTGAAACACTATAACTTTCTTTGTTCCTAGTTTTTCTAAACTGAAGGTAAAAATAACCAGTGATATAAGAACAGACATCTAGCACACTGACCCTGAGTCCATAGTTAAGAAATATGATCACACAAGATAGCAAGAACAAATTAAATATTCTTATCAATGTGGAACTTGTCAACTCGGAGTTAAAACCTTGGATTTACCCTCAGTGTGACACCTGTATAATCCAAATTACTGTTGTAAATGAAAATATAACATTGTAGAGGCGTTGGCAGATGTAAAATTCACTTTTACTGGTGTATATAAATACCATAACCTGTTGACTAACCCAATTCTGCACTCTTAACCATGTGCCAAACTGTTGTAACTTTAATAGACTTTTATCATTCCAAGATAAAAACAGGCAAATCAGCAAATGCCCCAGACTTTACTTTCACTATCAATACTGAGGATACTAAGCACTGGCCTAATCAACAGAAACATTGCCTGAACTATCCACTTCAATGCCATGCTCTTCAGAAAGCTGCTTTAATCTATCTTCTAAGATAATATTTTTCTTTATTTCTTCATTGTAGTTGTATTTCAGATCCTCAATTTCTTCAAAAATGGAAGGGTCAAATTTTTCTAGTTCTCTTCTCAGCTTTTTTGTTTCCTCCTATTAAAAAGAATAAAAGAGTACCACCTGTATCCAGAACTTTAAAAAATACATGTCCAACAACAGCTTTTTTTTGTTTTTTTTTTTTTTTTAAGAAAATCTATGAACAGCAAAATCACTAATAGTAAAATAGGCTTCATAAACCTAGTATTTAGAAATTTACTTGTCATTAAATACTAGTTTAGATACTAAACAGCTTACAATTTATCTTGCCTAAGATGATCCTTGCAACTTACCTTTAATTGCTGGTTTTCCAACTCTGCAGTTTTCAGCTGTGTCTGAAGATCAGCTACTTCTATCATTAACTGGTCATTTTTATCCTCTACAATTTCATTAGATCCTGCAAAAATAATGATAATTTGTCACAAAACTTAAGGTAATGAAAATCAATTACATTAAGAATCTTGTTGCAGTAATCCTGCATCTCCTGAAAACGGAAACATTTCAAGTGTGTAAACCCAAATGGGATCAAGAACCATAAAAAATTCAAGTCTTCTGGGCTTTTCCTAAGTTCTTGTACAAATTAGGTGGTGGTGTCTAGTGCCTGTGATTGAATGTAGTACCTCAGTGACCAGTCTGTTAGCATACTTCTGAGAAATACATGTACAGTTTCTCTGAGTTAAATGCACAAAACTTTGAAATAAAGTAGTATAAGGATCTTGTTAATTGTATAAATAATTTCAAGAGGGTGAAATTTTATTTTTTTCCCCAGTCACACGGCAACATGCTGCTCCATAGCATTCTGCTTTTCCCATGGGACTGATGCCTGCTAAGTGTTAAATTGTTCATAGAGCTGGTATCTGGAATTGGACACTCATTTATAGGCAGCTTGGAACCCAAGGCAAAAGGGGTAGCCAAAAGGGTTTCAATGAATGACTGACATCTTACAAGCAGTCTTTTTATGTTTATAAAGGAAATGGTGTTATGAGCTACATCTCTTCTTAAAAAGGGCAATCTTACAAATATTACAACCTCTTGGTTCAAGATAATTAATTATGGAGATTTTGACTAACACTTCTCTATTAAAAGCTTGTATAAATACTCAAAAATCCAAGGCCTTAGTCTGCTCCAGTTTACACTGGTCTGGCATTAATATAATTCAAATAATTTTGTAGATTTATTATCATTTTGCACACACATATTAAGTCAAAGTAGTTTTAGGCCCAAAATAGAAGATCTTTTAGGTACTGAAAATTATTACCAGTTGCAGGACCTTCGCTTGTATTTGTGAGTAGGTGCTGCTTATCCTCTGCCTGGTGAGCTAGTTCAGCTTTTTCTTTCTCAACTTGATTATTAGTTAATCTGGAATATAAAACAATTTTAGATTATTTTTTTTTAAGTTATTAAAATATTTTAGAATATAAACTATAACAAAAAATCGTAATGGACATTTATTGATCATTCTTATTTCAAGTATATCGGATGAGGTATTCGGTTATTTTAAAATACGTTTTTTTCCCTTCTTCTACAGCTAACAGAATCGATACACTGGCTGCAGTTAGCTTTCAGGGCCTTCAGAACACACACGAAGAATCTATCAAAGCTTACATATCCCAAGGAGTATAGAAATCCTAGTGGGTTTTCTAACACAACCTCTGCATGTTCACATGGTTAAATGTAGGTTCAAATGCAGCCAAGTTGGAAAATGCAGATTGCTGGCTTCCAGGTTTTTTTTCACCCCTGTGGTAAAGGTATTGAAATACTTTGTGTGTTGAGTAAAAATGGCTGCCATTATTCCACAAAGCACAAATACAATACATTTAAGCAGTAAGGAACACAAAATACTTCCTTTTTCAGAACTATCCAGAAGTCTACAGCTGATCTGAAGGAGGATAAGTAACTGGCTTCTGTATGGAAGCAGCTAACAAGGCCAGTACTTAAGGACACTAGATCTCTTCTATATACTAATATAGAATCATAAAATGTGAATAGTATAAAACTATCTTCAAAAGAGGAAAGAAAAATAATAAATCTTCCTTACTTCATTCTCAGTTCCTACCTTGCTGCAACAACAAACTTCCAACTTCTGCTGTCAGCTCTGTCCAACTGCGTCTCTGCCAAATTTAGCCTCTTTGTGGTTTCCTCCAGCTGTACATTTAACCTCTCGTTTAATATCTCCAAGTTATTCTTTGCTATTCGTAGCTTCTCTCCACTATCAGCTTCCTAATATTCAATAAAACCAAAAGTTTATGAAATACTTAACTTCACATACAGGATTATCCAAAATTATGGTGAGATAGGGTCAGTGCTGATTTAGAGGAAAACAGTGCATCCAAGATCACTACCTAGCAAAACTTCTGAATTCTGTGTTGGGCTACTCCTTGGATGTCTCCTCTCCACATATAATAAAAGTTGGGTCATATCAGTGCTTAGAAAAGTGTCCATTCCACATCAACTATTAAAAACCAGAAAAAAAAAGGATACTTGCCACAACCAGAAAATAATGAAAATAAAGAGGTGCCTTAGAATGGTTGTACCTTTTTAAGTTCTTTACGCAGCTTCTCATTTTCAGTAATGAGTTTGTCCATTCCTTTGGTTTTAGATTCATAATGCATACTCAGCTGCTCCTCCAGATGAAGTTTCATTTTTTCTATTTCAGACTAAATATAAAATGGTTTGTTAAAACATAAACATTGCTTAGTAGAAAATTTCAGATTTGCATCTTTAAAGTACTGCATAGTTACAGCTACCTAGCACAGTGAACACGTTTCATTACATATTTAAATGTATCCTTAAGGTACAGAGTATTTTTACTTCCATCATGCAGTATGTTACGCTAAGTGAACGTTTCATATTTGGTATTTTTAAAAGCATTTTTATACCAGTCAGTGTCAACAACAGGGTCACTGCTCCATTTTCCTAGTGACTTGCATCAAGCGCTAAATATGGTTATTGGAGATAAGTCGTTACCTTTAGCCTCTCATTTTCCTGTTCAAGACCAAGTAACTTCTCATTAGAAACCACAGGTGGAGCTTTTTTGAGATCTTCGTTTTCTCTTTGGACTCTCTCTACAACCTTTTTCATCAGACCAATCGTTTTTTCCAATTCTGGGATTGTCTTTCCACTTCTACCAGCCTATAGAGAGGGAAGGAAAAAAAAAGTAAAAGGAAGTGAACAGTTAATCTTAACATTCTGAGATACTCCAAATCTTACTTTATCACTTATTTTCCCACTGAAATTTTTATTTATTAAAAATATGTTATATTTTGGTGTGACTTGAACTGTAAAGTGTCTTGCATACTTAGCTCCCTAAAATTACCTACTCATCCCCAAAGTCAACATACCAGCTCCTTCGTTTTCTGCTACCCAAGAAAACTGCAGTAAGTCTGAAAATCTGCTGTCCTCTTTGAACTAAACTGAAACATTAAGAAAATAAATCAAAGTGCTACTTTTTATTTTTCTTCTTTCACTATGTTCATTTATGAGGCAGAAAAGATGTTAAAGGGCATTCAAATAGATTTCTTGTCATCTTTGTAATGACTGTTTTCCTCAGCAATAATAATTTAATTTTGCTGTTTATAGTTCTGGGCCCATGAAGTACCTTTCCTTTCTGCACAAGCTGGGAGCACAGTACACTGAAAAATAGAGAAGGTTTTACTCCCTGGAGCCCTACTTAGTTTGGGAAGTAAAAATTATTTCTTTTTCTCTGAAATAACTGTAGGGATTAGGGAGTTTATGTTGATATGCAGCAGAGGTGAAGACAAACCTCTGTAAGGTCTTGGAACCTGAAGAAGGAGCAAGATTCCAAATTTTCTGCCTCCTTAGAGTCTTTGCATGAAACAGTTTTATAAACTGAATTTCCTTATCCAAGTACTACACAAGCAGTCCATGCAAGATACAAATAAAAGAATGGCAACTACACAATCTTTTCCAGATACCCAGAAGTAGAACCTATTCTCCTTTTATGCTGGCAGACCTAGGAAGGCACTTAAGAGCTTTTATTACATCTCATTCCTTTAAAAGGTCACACAAAGAGTTTGACATTTTAGTGGCAAGAGAAATACTGGGTGTTGCTGAAGCTGTAACTTCTGAAATACTGCTCTATTAAAGTAGCAGACAGTAGCTAGGGTAAAATTTAATTGTGTCATCTTGCATAACACAACAAAAAACTCCAGTAACTTACACTTTCTAACATCTGCATCAAATAAAAATATTTTAAATCATAATGCTCTAACTGTATTACATATTTACATAAATATATTACTATAATTTTCATTTTTATATAACAATGTAGCTTTAATAAAATAGTTTTTTTCATATTTCAGTTTCATTTGATTATGATGAGAAATAGTGTTAGAATGCTCACCCCTCTAATGGCACCCAACTTGCGTTCAACATCTGCTTTCTCTTTTTTGAGGAGTTCACACATTTCTTTTAAGTCACTTACTTGGTCCTAAAAAACAAAGTAATAAGCAGCTTATTTAGATTTCAGATTGAGGTGAATGGTAACAAAATTACAGTTGGTTTACGTGGACAAATGTAAAGAGAAAGCCATTTTGCATTGCAGTGACATTTGTTCATAATTCAACCTTCTCATCTTGCATAAAAACATTAAAGACAATGTTTAAAGAAAAAGATACCCTTTTATTGCTTTTTTAAGCAATCCCCTAGACAGTGTCAGGGGAAAAGGGACTAAAGTTAAAAATATGTTACCTTTAGTCTTGGCAAATCTTTATTGGACTGCTCTAGTTGGAATCTTAGCTCAACGTTTTCAGATGACAATCTTAAATTTTCCTTTAAAATCTCTTGTTCTCGTCGATATTGATCATCTGAGCCTATTCCTGATGTCTTCAGAAAATGAAAAGGAAAAAAATTATTAAGTGTTAATACACTATGCATTGTATCAGCCGTAGCTGGTACAGAGCAACAGAAAATCAGTATTTTTCACAGAAATAAAATGGATGACAGTTCTATCACCAGTTTTTATCTTATTTGCTCTGATTTTTAACTCCTTCTCTTACATTTTCTAAATATGCTTTACCTTTCAGGGAAGTTTACAAATCAGTATATACACCAGTAAAATTTTTTTCAAACAAAAATTGACTCTCAAACTATTGGTTAGAAATAAATCTCAAAGTCTAAAAGGCAAGAAAGCTACTGAGAGTAGTAAGCTGGGACACTGTACCTGGGAACAGCATCTAATTTTAAGGACATAGTCTGCTATGTTTGTTAAATAGTACACACAGCAACAGGAATTCCACTGAAGTCAAACAAATTACAGAGCATGTCAGGAAGAGTGGTATGTCATTCTAGCTCTTAGGCTGTTAGTTCCTACAACCTTAAGTCTTTATTTATGGAGGCCTGTAATTTCTGTTACTTAAAAGAGTGCCTTGCATGCCTTATATTGCCAATTGCAGTCATAAATAAATGGTAAATTATAATGTCTGACTAGTAAAGAGTAAAACCTTTTGATGATATAATAATCAGCAGGTTTCACTTAGATAATGATGGAATTACCCATTGAATCCACAAATTCATCACTAAAAATAACAAGAATAAAGTATTTGCCTCAATAAAGCGTTTTTTTTCTTAGTAAAGTAATAATGCATCATAAATCTCTTAAAGAATGAAGGTCATCAACTAACTGCATGTATCACTGTGCTTATTTGTAAACTTTCAGAACCAACATTTTAGAATTCACAGTAGTTTAGTTGTGAGCTGACATGCATACTTATCATGAAAGAGTAAGGTTTGATTTATGGACCACTTGGCGACTACTTCAATATCCCTGCAGACCATGTAGAGGAAACCATTCCATTATCAAGATCAAACTATTATATTTCTACATTGCTTATACAGAAATGCTAGAGGACTGCTACAGTATCAAACCTCAGGCATGTCACAAAATTCTGGGGTTGTTTCAACCCCCTCTGTACCACTTTGGTAAGTCTCATGTTTATCTTCTGCAGTCTGTGGATTCATTTCATTATTCACATTTATTTTTTCTGCTTCATAGTCATTAGCTTGATTAGAAGGTTCTGATGAATCAGACTGATTGCAGCTCATTCTCTCAGTATAAGGTTCTACCCTTTCTTCATCAACATTTGATTGCTTGACTATTTCTTGCTTCCTGTCCCCTTCAGATTCCTCATTCAGTTTTCCATTTTCAGGTTGGGTTATATTTTCTTCTTCACTGCAGTTCTCTTCATCAGCTTCAACTATATTTTTGTTCTTCAATCCATCTCTAGATACATCTGCATCCTTGCATTCCTCACTATCTTCAGGATGCTCTCCAGGAGCCACTTCTGTGCTTCCATCTGCAGTAGCTTCAAGGCCTTCATTGTGCATGATGCATGTTTGCATATCTGCTTCTCCATCAATTTCATTGCCATCACTAATGCTATGGTTAGTCTTATGTTTGATTTCATCCCTGTTTGAAACAGATTTCTTTTGAAGGGACTGCAGATACTTTTGTTTACTGATACTGATAGGAACAGACTTGGTCAGTTCAGTTTGGTTACATGCACTCTGATTCAAGTTGAAGACAGAATGAAGCATGAAAGAAAAGCAGAAGACAATAAAGTAAACCAGAAAGGAACCTAGAATGTACTGCTAAATATATTTTGAAAGATGAAGATAACCCAATAGTGCAATCTTTGCAATACAATAGAACCTTCTAAAAATCAAAACACAAGAAAAACATCTAATGTAACTGAGATGCAGCTCAGTATTTTCCCTAACTCTCTGTATACCAAACTTTCAATGAATATTAAATATAAAAGTAGTCACTCTCAGTTGTAGACTCATGTTTAAAAATACATATACCTTATTTCTCCACATGATAGGATGCTGACAACTTAAGTTTCTACCTGTGGAACTAAGAAGCTGTAATTTGGGGGGTTTTGGATTTGTTTTGTTGTTTTTTAAAAACAGTAAAAGCTGAGTATTTCATTTCAAGAATACTGTAATTTGAAATAAAACAAGCTAAATGACACAGAATACCAAATGGATAACCAGTAGTTTTGTTAGGTAGGTGTGATTCCTTTAGGTAATACTGTTATATTGTTAACTTACTGAGGGTCTAGAGTAGGTTTCTCTTGAATACTGTCTCTGCAATGCATGAAGTTTTTCCTGGAGGTATTGATTTTTCAAATGTAACTCTTCTACAACAGAATCTCGTGGGATTGCTTGCTGTGTTCTACATAAAAAATGTTATCAAGCCAAAACAAACAAACAAACAAAGCTATTAATGCATTAAAAATATGCTTACAGTAAAAACCCCATGAACTTCTGAATTACAAGACTGGATTTTCTAGTATTACTGGGATAGTTTTCTAAATACTTGTTAGCCATATACACTATTTCAACTAATCCACACGAATCAGAAGTACTTACTTTGGGGCAAAAGGAATCTGCTCTTTTGAGATGTCTACAGCTTCAATTACTCAGGCACACTATCCACAGTGATAAATTACAAAACACTCCCTAACTGCAACTTAGCAGTTTTAGCAATTCTAAATTGTTCACCAATCTAAATTATAATTTTACACAACAGGAGCCAGATCTTTTTCACAGCTTTTTAGAACAATGAACCAATGCTACATATTCTGTGAACATGCACAGTTGCTCCCAAGTAGCTTTAAATTCGCTCTTCAGACTCAAAGAAGGATTTCTGAAATTCCTGTCTTTTTTCCCGTCATTGAATCATTTGGTCTAATAGAGACTGTCTAGCTCTTTCCACAGACTTTTTTTTCTCATTTAGATGTTTTAGTTTTTATAGATTCTTTAAAAATGCCTCTCACCTCATGTGAGCAATTTCATTTTCTAAATCTAGATTCCGTTTTCTTAGTTCTTCCAGTTCTTTTTCAGTCTCTGAGGCTCTTAGTCCAACAACATGGTCAACAGTGACACCTGTAGTTTTCAGTTTCTTCTGTAGAGCAATTTTCTCTTTTTCATTCCTGCAACATCCAGGAAATTTACATTTAAAACTGTACTTGCTAACTTCCTTTCTTTTTCTGTCTTAAAGAATCTACATTTGCAATTTATTTACTCATTGAACCACACCCCCCTTTCTGTTTAAGACAATTACAGTACAGCTTTACCAAAAAAACCCACAACACCTTAAAAAAGCAATGAACCTTAAGTCAGTATCATGCACATCATAAACCACATGCCTGTGTTTTCTGGGAAACTCGTACAAGACTTGCTGAGAATAAATGCTATTTTGAAACAGTTTCAAACTACAATCTAACAGCTACCATCACCGTTTCCTTTCTCCTCTGCATTTTTAATCAGTAAAATACTGCCTTGAGTGTACTGAAATAAATGTAACATTTGCAGAGGGCTTATCTATGTTTTTGTTTTATTTTTAAAGGCTTCCCTCTCATACTCCTAGAACCCTCAGTACTGCAGCGGGGCTACATGTAGCAAGTAGCACAGTATCCACTTGTAGCAACCTAAATAAACAACACAGCGGTGAGTAACAGCCTCTCTTCATGAAGTTGTTACTTGTTTCATGGGAATAACAGAATGCTACATACAAGAAGCATAATAAAGGACTTAAATTAGTTTTATTCAGAGACAGTTTCTTCTAATGAAGTTTGTTGGCTTTTAGAAGTGAAATGAAGGATAACAGTGGAGTGGCCTGCTGCTTGAAAATTAACTAATCCTTTTAAACTCAATAGCAATGTCAAATTCTAGACATTAGTCTTACAAAAACGTATTACATGGCAAACATACTTAGATTTCCCTA